TGAAAGTCAATTCTGGTGGGACACCCTTGGGGAGGGCACTAACTGACCTGCATAAGGGCTGTGTGTATGTCTCCAACAGTTACCAAGATGACTGGCTCTCCAAGGCCCAGATCTGAATTATGTGTCCATCTATGGCTGGGAGAGATAGAACTGAGCATAAATAAGGTCAACACACCCTAACCACAAAGCACATGCTCTGCATGGTCAAAGATGATTGTAATGAGGTGATGATAGTGAGTTTGCAGGCTGGCAAACCAGAGAGCATCTTCCAGTGACACAGCTGTAGGCACATTTTATTCAATGCAGAAGTCAGTAACACCACTGGCTAGCAGAACTCACAGAAGGGAATATGTATTGATTACTTTCAAGTCCTTGTAACAGACACACATTAATGTTGTGCTAACTGTACCACTAAAAATCTTAATGGTCATGGGATATGAAGATTATTGAAGTAATTTCAGCCGATAGAATATCATAGAATAGAAAATGACTCAGACTGTATCACACAGTTTATGTTAACTTTTTAGAATGAACTCTTTTAGATTTCTTACCAATTTCAAGCTTTGGTTTTTCCTTCGACGCAATCATAATATATGCTCCTTATAGCTCATACCACATAGAGGGATACTTTCTCAGCCTAGACACATAGGAGAGGGCCTAGGCCCTGTCCCAAATGATATGACAGACTTTGAAGACTCCCCTATGGAAGGCCTCACCCTCCGTGGGGAGCAGAAAGGGGATGGGCTGGAGTTTGGTGGGGGTGATAGGGGAGGATGGGAGGGTGAGAGAACTAGGATTGACATGTAAAACAACCTTGTTTCAAATTTAAATAAAAATATAAATATATACATATGCTCCTTTAAAACTATAAAATGCAAAAGCCTTCTTTCTTTGTTCTACTTTCACAATAACTGACAGTGATTTTTGTGCAAATGGCCTAAGTAGTATTTTTCTTATTAATTGAAATTATGTTTTATATCATACTAAGTGGTATACCTCTGTTTGTGAGCATTGGACTGTGAGTTAAATTAGCATTGTGTATACTGATATCCTAAAGCAGTTTTAATGGAGTTAATTTCAACTTTCCCACAATAACGTAAGTCTGAACACAGTGTCTTTGATGCCCTGTTCACTCAGTTTGTGGTCTGTTCTGTATGAAATGACTTTTATGATAACCTTCATAATGACAAAGAATTTCTAACAATTTTAAAATTATGGCCTAAATATTGACTTCTTTTTCTTAACCTGTTTTTTTTAAAGTATCTTGAGCAACTATAAACGTGCCAATTTTTCTTTTCTTAGGAATTTTTATAGTATGTTTGATATTGCAAATTTAGCTATTTGCTAAAATGGGTCACAACTGTTTGTCAGAATGTGGAATAATGACAGAAAAAGAATGTATTGAATAATAATTAACTGTTGGTGGTTATATTTTTTATTTCCTATTTATTCATACTTCTTTTAAAATTCATACAAAAATAAGAGTATATGGATAAATGTGATGAATCTATAATATCTTCAGGAAGATATATCAAAAATACTTGGAAACATGATAGCTTATAGCCAGTTAGAGGAAGGTGATTTAGAAATGTGTGTTGGGGTCGGGATGGAAGAAAGCAATAAAAACTCTACCTAAAGTACCTAGAAAATGTATAAATCAAGCTTGAGAGGAAAATAAAATACATCCAGATGAATAATTTCTCAAAAAAAAAAAAACAAAAACAAAAACAAAGAAACCCATACTCATATATTAAGAGTAAGTGGGGGCCCCTGAGATGGCTCAGTGGGAAAGGTACCTGCCACCAAGTCTGGTGACTTGGATGTTATTGAATATTAATTTAAGGTGTGTTACTTTTGTTTATGCTCTGGAACATTTGTTTAGTTATGTAAAGATGTGTTTGAGTAAATAAAATTCACCTGTGGTCAGGAGGCTCGGTCAGCAAGTAGCTGACAGGAAGTGGAAAGGAGGAGCCAGATGGAGAAGGGTTTGTAAGGAGGGGCGAGGAGAGGCAGGAGAGCTTCTGGTGAGAAGCCAGAAGGAGAGGAGGTGAGTTACTTGCTATTCAGCCTCTCTGAGGAGCAGAATTCCACCTCAACCATAGAATCTTGAGTTCTTTAGAGGGACAGAGATTTAGATAAGTTCACTTCGTGTCTGTGAATCAGGTGGTGGTATCTGAGAGAACTCCCTCAGGCTGCCACTCTTGAGGCCTCCCTGCTGCTGATAGCAGGAAGTTGCAGTTGCTGATTTGGACAGCAGGGGTGTAAAAGGCTGAAACAATTTAAAAAGAAGACTACACTTGGAGGTGGAAGAATGTGTTTTACCACAACAAAAAATTAAGGAAAAACAAAAGCAAACCCAAAAAAAATATTAAAGAATGAGATACAGGAAACATGAGTCTTAGCGCAAAAGAGAAGAGATAATTCCAGCATTACTGCCCAGGGGACTCCAGGACCACAGCCCTGCAAAGGCTCCATACAACTGTTGGTCTTGATTGGAATAGAGGACTATCATCTCCAGAAACCAGCCTCCAGGAAACCTAGAACACCACCAATGTGTTTCCCTAAGTCTTTCAACTTATGAGCATGAAGTTGTGAAGACAGAGTTTCTTGTCCAGCCTGATACTGCAGCCATTTAGTTCCAAATAAATACACAGAGGCTTATATTAATTATAAACTGTTTGGCTGATGGCTCAGGCTTCTTATTGGCTATCTTCTCTAAATTATTAACCCATTTCTATAAAACTATGAATTGCTGTGAGGCTCAGGCTGTGACTTACCCACAATGCTCTGGAATGTTACTCCTTCGGTAGCTATATGGCATCTCCCTGGCAACTGTCTCTCTCTCTCTCTCTCTCTCTCTCTCTCTCTCTCTCTCTGTTCCTCTTCCCAGCATCCCTAGTCTGGTGGCCCTGCCTGTACTTCTTGCCTGGCTACTGGTCAATCAGCATTTATTCACCAACCAATAAGAGAAACATATATTCACAGCAAACAGAAGGACATCTGCCATCAAAGTTGTTCAAATAGTCCCCGTTTTACTTTTACGATTTCTCAAATGTAGTGATATTTCTTTTCTCATCCTTGCAGTGGACAGTTTTCCCCTCATGACTCATTGACGAATCTAAAGAATACTCAGTCTTGCCAATTTCAAGGAACCAGATTTTGGTTAATATATCCTGTCTGCTGTTTTTCAGCTCTGTGGCTTGTTGGTTTCACCCTGGCTTTTGTTAACTGCATTCCTTCTGACTTTTCTACTTTCTATTGCTTCCCTATTTCTACTCTGTTGAGGTGAATCTGATTTGAGCACTTTGAACATACACAGTGCTGGTTAATTCTGGTATCGTCTCACCCTACACACTTGAAAACATTTCCTTTTGTTTTCATTCAGCTTACATTTTCTAATGTTCATTTTGACTCCTCTGATCACATGATCTAAAATCTAAGCCTCCAACCATTTTCTAGGTATTTTCCTGCTATAGATTCCTACTTTCATCCTATTGTGACTAGAAAACATAGTCTCCTAAGCTTATTGAGACTTATTTTGAAACAAGAAGAGGATCAATTTTGATGAGTATTCCATATATACAAACAAATGGATGCATTCTGATGTCAGGAGAATTTTCCATAGATGTGAGTTAAGTCAGGTTGACTGATAGAATTAGTCAATCTTTTTGTATCATTACTGATTTGTTGCTTGCTTATAAAGTCAGTTCTTGAGGAAAGAGTGTTAATGACTATAATTTTGTTAGTTTTCTATTAATCTATCAATTTTGTTATGTTTTGAAACTGCCATTAAGTACATGCATTTAAGATTCCATTCTTTGACATATTGGTCCCTGTAGTGTTATGAAAGGTAACTCACTTTCTTTGGTCATATTCTTTATTTTGAAAAATAGCTTAATAAGAGCATGGTAATTCCAGTGTTCTTATTTCTTTTATAGCAGTCTGGATGTCAAAGACATTATTATATTCATATTTATTATTTATTATACACACATCTCACTTTAATGATATATAAACCTCAAATACAGAGAAAACTAAGAATTTACAGGAGAAGATAAAAGTATGTGAGAATGGATATAAATATATATCCCTATCGGTTCCATAGTACTTGAATTCCAGTCTGAGGATGACATGCCTAAGCAACAACACTTATGTGTCTCTTCCAGAGTGGACAGACATGACAAGTAGAGTTATTAAAATGAAGACTTATTGAAGATTTTCTCTGTTTTCACTTGTCTTCTGCTGGACCAAACAACATTTGCATATCATACAACTTCTTTTCATTCAATTTAAGCATGCACACAGTCATTGATAGGATCCATAATGGGTCAAAATTCACATGTGTCCTTAGCTTTGCATGAGATAAAACTGAGAAAGCTCCTCAATGGAATTTAGTCTTAAGTTATGCTTAACAAGAAAGGAAGGGCAGTGACTGACAAACAAAGCAAAGCAGGAAGAAGCGAGGGTGAAGGAATTTGGAAGTGCCTGTTCTCCGATGGCAAAGAACATGGTATAGAAGGGAAGGACTCATGAGACAGTAGCCAGGAGTTGTTCTGAAACCAGAACAGGAGTGGGGAGCTTGGCTGAGTGTTCCAAGAATGAAAGTATTGAGGAATGTGTGCCACTAAAAACCACACTTTAGTTTGCTCAGAGGAACAGCCAACAGTGGTCACAGTTATACGTGAATAAGAGCAGACCAATATGTTGAATTCTTAAAGAAAGTTGCTGAGAGACTCTGAGAGACATATGAGGAATGAGGAATGAGAGGGCAATGTGACTTGGGACTCAGATGAGAGAACAATAGTAGCACAAGTGGCAGGAGGAACAGAGAAATGTGGGAAAAGAAATAGCAAGGCATGGGAGGAGTGCGAATGAATAAGCAGAGAAAGTACTCGGACCTTATGGATTGAGGGCATGGGAGGCACTATTTACTGGAGAACAGGTTGTTGATACTGGTACCTTGAGAGTGGAGCTACGCTTTGTCCAGAGTCCTTCATATCTTATGAGCTGCCAACACAAAGGTTGGAGAACTTCGTCTTGAGGGTCCTTCTCATCTTGGGACTGCTTAGCATCAGAATGGTAGAATGCAGGGAGATGCCCATGTAGGTTATCACTTCCCAGGCCCAGCGCCAGGAATTGTAGATAGTTACGACTTGTGTAGTAGATAACACCAGGAACAGGGCATATGACGTATAGAAGATTAGGAAGAAGGCAAGAGATTTCAGAGCCATGGTGTGAGCCTGGATGCTGTAATCATGAGGCCTGGGACTGTGGTATCTCATCTGTTCCAAATGCCAGTACAGTGAGAACATAAGCAAGATGATAGACAGCAGAAACAGGAAGAATGGAGTGACCCACATCAACATTACATGATAGCAATAATAATCATGGAATGCCCTTGCTTCACAAGCATGTGTGCAGTTTTCATAGTCCATCCTTTGAAAGGCAATTGTATTCCCAGTGACCACGGAGATGGCTGACAGACCACCAATGATCAAGGATCCGAGCAGCAACCTTGGCACAGACTGAGAAATTCTCCATTTCATCCAGAAGAAGATGGGATGGGAGAAGGAACAGATCTTCACACAGTAGAAGATGGCAAGCCAGGTGGTAAACCAGAAATTGACGGTATTGATGAAGTCCCAGAGAACCCCAAAATAGTTATTTTTGTGCCAAAACAAAATGAAATTCAGGAAGTTGTTAAGGATTTCTAGTCCATGCAGACAGAATCTGGAGGCAGCTAGGCAGGCCACAATCATTTCACCTGCAGGGAATGCCTGGCTCTGAACCCATTTCCTACCCAGCACAGCAACCATGAAGCCGTTTTGTAGCATTGCAGCTAGAGACTGCACACAAAATATGACAATGAAGATAAATGTAGCTGAGAAAGGCATCTTACCTGGGGAGGATTTGCTTAGACTGGCTCCTACTGCTGAGGCCCAGGACAGAGCCCCAGAGAAAACGGCAGCTTCAGCCAAATGACCTGGCTGAAACCTCTTCCTGGATTCATGCAAAAGCCGAGCCACCAATGAGGACCACATTTACCAGGAGTTGAAATGAGGAGAACTGTTGTCTTTGCTGGTTTGGAAATCACTCCCAATTCAATGACACCTGTGTCTGTTTGCAGACACTGCATTTGCCTGCTCTTCATCAGAGTCAGCTGCAGGGAAATATGAACAGGATCCAAGGATGATCCAATACACCAACACTTTGCACATTGCTGCTGTGTTTCATTTTAGTGTTAGAATGAACAGTGCATATTTATCACATATGTTAATGGGCTTCACCACACCATTTCTATCCATGCATATATATTGCTTTGACCGTATCAGATCTCGTAGTTAACTCGAGGATACTTTACCCTTCTCTAGTAACCCATCTACCACTTCCAAATCAGTTTGTTTTACTTTTATTTTAGTTTACATGTGTGAGAGAAAACATATTTGGCTTTCTGTGTCTTAGCAGTGCTCTTAAACACCGAGGCATCTCTCTGGCCCAATTTCTGTGTCTTGGTTATTTTACTTTACATGACATCTGATTTATTCCATTTTCCAACAAATGGCATCACTTCATTGTGCTATAATGATCTGCTCTCTGTGTGTGTCTTTAATTCTGTCTGTCTGCCTGCCTGTCTGTCTCTATCATCTCTTTCTATATATATATTTTCTCTATATCTATCTATCTATCTATCTATCTATCTATCTATCTATCTACCTACCTAATACTTCTCATATCTGTTTATCTCTAGATGAACACTGAGGTAGATTCCGAAGATCAGCTATTATAAATCATGTTGGAATAAATGGATATATAAAGATCTCTTACTTATGCTGACTTCATTTATTTTGGATTTATATCCATGAGTGGGATAGCTTGATCATGCGTTAGTCCTATGTTTAATTTTTTAGAGGAGTTGCTACACCGATTTTCATAGTGACTGGACTAATTTGCATTTATCAGCAATGTACATTGCATCCTTTAAGTCCATACCCTAGCTGGCTTTTCATTGTTGCTTGTTTTGTTTTGGCACTCATTGCAATTAGAGTGAGATGGAATCTCGATAAAGTTTTGATTGACATCTAGTTCTCACTGTTGGATAATTAAATACATTTTTATTTTATTTCAGTGGTTACTTGGAGTCATGTAGTGCACAGCTTTTCTTACTTCCTTCAATGGTACATGTAGTATAATAAACGTAAAATTATACAATTTTTTCTCCATTCCTAATTTTTATGGACTGATGTAGATTTTACTTGTATACATGTTGAAGCTCCCATAATTCTTAATTTTTCCCTCAGAAAGTCCCTTAGGCACAACCGATTGAGGTGAGCATGCTCTAGCAAAGTCTGTTTTGATGACTTTTCTATATTAATCTTCTTGTTTTTCACTATCCTCACAATGTTTTCTGTGAGAAAATACTGAGAGTGGCTATTATTTTGCTTTAAGCAGTCAGGGATATTTTAGTGATTTAAATAACAAAATGCCCTGTATTGCCAGAATAGGCACACTTGCCACATGATTAGTTTCCTTGTTTAGAATCAAGTTTCCTTCTGGTAATATCTTTGGTACACAGTTTTTCATATAATGAAAATGAAGACAGAAGAGTAGCTGAGTCAGCTAAGGCACGTCAATTGACACGATATGAATAGTACCAACGACTTAACTATAAAAATATTAACTGTCAATGATGGCACTTGAAGCACCCCAAATACAATAACAAACTAGATTAACTGTATCAAAAACAAATACAAAGGTTCATGGACTAAGGAAAGAGTTCTGAAAAGCTGTGTGTGGGGGGAAATAGCCTTTTAAATAAAAGGTAGAAACATAGTGCAGTTGAATACCTTCATGCCTAACAGTCTTATGAGGAGAGAAATGGGGAATGCATTTAGAATTTCAAAATAGGGAAATATTTACTTTTTATATGATTTATTTATTTTTATTTCATGTATGTTTGCCTGCATGTACATGTCTGTTGGAAGGTGTTATTAGCTGTCATGTGGTTACTGGGAATAGAACCCAGATCCTCTAAAAGAGCAGTCAACGCTCTTAACCACAGAGCCATTTCTCCAGCCCCAGGAAAATATTTCTTAAGACTGAAAGAAAACTTAAAAAAAAAAGAAGAAGAAGAAGCACCAACCACAAAGGAAAAATATGTATTATTAAAATAGTTGACTTAGAGACACTATGACAAAATCAAAATGCAAGACATGCAGTGGATGAGTCACACAGATATGGCTAATAAGGATACAGGAAGAGTTTATGCAAAACACTAGTGAGAATGAAACAGAGAGTCTAAAAAAAATGAGGAAAACAAAACAAAACAAACAAACAAACAAAAAAAACCCAATAAATCCAGGAAGGAAAGAGGAAATTTAAAAAGCTCACCAAATATGTACTAAGTGCTTAATCCTATTGATGACAAGAATGAATTATTACCATGGTGGATACCCTGTCACAAACATAGAACAACAAAGTTTATTCTCTCTCTCTCTCTCTGTGTGTGTGTGTGTGTGTGTGTGTGTGTGTGTATGTATGTGTGTAAGAGAGGGAGAGGAAGAGGGTGGTTGATTTCAAATACTTGGGAAGGTATGTAGTACTGAAAAGATGTTCCCTGTAGATGGAGTTTCTGTCCCACCTGGTCCCACAGCTATTTAGCCCCTAATAAGCACACAGAGGCTTATATTAATTATAAACCATTTGGCCAATGGCCCAGCCTTCTTATTGGCTAACTCTCTTAATTATTAACCCATTTCTCTTAAACTATGTATTGCCATGAGGCTATGCTTACCTGTAATGCTCTGGCATGTTACTCCTTCAGAGGTTACATGGTGTCTCTCTGTTCCTGTTCGCTCATTCTCTGCGTCCTCTCCCCAGAATTCTTCTTGTCTGGTAGCCCCATCTGTACTTCCTGCCTGGCTACTGGCTAATCAGTGTTTTATTCATCAACCAATAAGAGAAACATATATTTACAGCATACAGACGAACATCACCATGAGTTCCCTTTTGGTGGAAAAAGGAAACTTACATAGCTGTATTTTAAAACAGTTTAAACTGCAGATACATACAAACAGGCACAACTAAATTTTATTTTTTAAGATAAACAATTGAATGGAAAACAAAATAGGAAAGTAAATTAAGTTACAATAATAGATTGCCTGTAGGCTAAAAAGGGAATTGGCCAGAGGAGATTTTTTTTTTTTTTTTAATCTCTGAGTCATGGTCACAAGAACTTTCAGTGCATTGGTGTTTCTTGTGTTTCTCTGTATATGTAGGTATTTTACAAATAATTGTGTAAAACTAAAATTATTCAGTAGGAAACAAAGGTGGTAACAAATAAAGTACAAGAAAAATACACAACTAAACACAGTGAGGTTCTATTTTGAGAACATTTTCATCATAATAAAATCACAATTGTTTGATAAAAAGTGTGATGTATTTATTTTGAGGACATTGAAGAAGGACTGCAAGAGAATTACATTTTTTTTTCTTTCAGCAAGAAAATGAATGCAGCTATCTAATACTGAAAAAAAAAAAAAAAACCATAGAAATGGTAATGCAGCCCTGAGTTATAAACTTAGAGGGAACTAAAACATGGCTAGGGAATAGAAAGTTGATGTTCTTGAGAAACAAGTCTTGAAAAAGGGAAGTATAGGGCTTCCTCCCACCTTGGCAGGGTTGCAGGTAGATTTATAGTTCAAATAAATGTGTTAAGAGTATATATGCTTTATTTGATAACATCAAATAAAAATAAAAATAATGGAGACTGGAGAGATATCTCAGTGGTTAAGATCACTGGTTGACTTTTCAGGGGACCCAGACTCTACTCTCAGTACCTATATAGTTGCTCAAAGCCATCTGTAACTTCCATTCCAGTGCATCTGGTGCCTTCTCCTTGCTTCTGAGGGTAACAGGCATGGTACATAGACATACATGGAGGTAAATGATTCATACACACAACACTTTAAAAATATTTTAAAAAATAGTAAAAAAGGACAATGGCAGAGTTGGTGGTTTATAAATCTGAAGAGAGTCCAGTACTGTCTTTTCAGTCATCATGAAAGATGTAGTTATAATGGGGAATTAGGAATGTGATTGGGTCAGGAGGCTTAAGCCCTTGTGAGTAAGATGAATAGTTCATAAAGAAAAATTATTGTTTACCTTTCCATCCTCCCAGTGCAGCTGTATACAAGGTACTACATACGAGAAAGTGCCTCTTACCAGACACCAAAACTGCTTGGATTTCTCAGCCCCTCAGAACAGTACAAATTTACGCTATTTACCAATTACCTCACAGCTGAAATAGACTAAGGTGTTATGGTCCATGCAACTGGATAATCCTCCATTTGGCAGAGTAAGAACAAGCAACCATTTTTCAGTCTATGGGTATGTATGTTTACGTTTCAAAATATAAAACTGTTTCTTATGGAAAGTGCTAGAATAAATCAGTGTTATGGCAAGTCATGTTAAGTATGTGTGTCTACACACAGGCTTATAAAACATACATTCATAATCCCCCCTCTTCTTTTCAAGAGGAGAGAGAGACTGCCTCCCTGTTAGGAATCTGGGTTAACACTATCCAAATTCCAGTTCTGGGTATGTGGCTGCTTGAAGCTTCCCCTGTAAGGAATGTGTCACTTCCTCATAATCCTTCATGTGCCAGTAAAGCTTTTCCCATTGTCAGTGTTTTTCTCTAAGGAGGCAGTCTACATTCTTCAGCTTTGAAATCTTCCAAAGGAAGAGACCTAAAATACCACATTACCACCTTCATTTGATATTCTACATCTTACCAGCTGCATTTCTAGCATCCATAATTGCCCAGATCCCAGCTGCTGGTCCTTATGGTCTGGAAGTCGCTTTAGAAGCATAGCTTTATCCTTCCAGCCAGCTGCCTGCCCTTCTAGAGCCTGAAGGT